CCTTGGGGAGTGGTAGGTGCCTGTGCCTGGGCTCTGCCCCACACCGGCGGTGCCTTCTGTGGGTCCCAGAGAGCACGGGGCCACCTCTGGGGCTGCAGCTCCTCAGTGGTGCTCAGAGAGTGACCCTGGAACGTTCCCTTGGGATACCCTTGGGCCCAGGAGCATCCATTGGCCTTTCCCAGCTCCTGCTCCATAGGGAAGCAGCACGGCTCTGGCTTCCCTGTCCTGTGGCCGGGTGGGATCCTGGCTGACATCCCAGGACTCCTCCAGCTCGGGTTTTCCACGTTCCTCCGTGCAGGAAGGAGCTGGGGAGCCCCGAGCCGGGGCAGCCGTATCCTTCCGTGGAGGAGCTGAAGAACGTTTGGATCCCGCACGCCATCAAGATGAGGCTGACCAAGAGCAAGGAGCTCGATGTCTGCAACTGGAGCGAGAACGAGGAGGTAAAGGCTGAGCAGCTCCCTCGGGGGCTCCGTGGTCGCCTCCGTGTGGGGCTGTGGGGCAGAGGCCTCGGGGGAGCGTGGAAAGCATGGAGCTCAACCCCGCAGCTGAGCCCCACCGAGGACCCCGAGTCGGTTTATGTCTATGACCTGATGGCCACCGTGGTGCACATCCTGGATTCCCGCACCGGGGGCAGCCTGGTGGGACACATCAAAGTGGGAGAGACCTATCACCAAAGGAAGGAGGTGAGGGGCATGGGTGCTGCTGGGGGTGCTGCTGCCCTCCTGCTGCAGGATCAGCTCCGGACCCGCTCCCGGGTGCCTCAGTGCGGAGCCCGGGGCTGCTGAGGCACGTCCGGTGCGGGGAAGGGCGGAAGGAAAACGCTTCCCACTCTTCCCCACGCTGGTTCCTCCTCTCGCGGGCACCCTGCCCGCTTCTCCTTGTCCCCCCAGGTAGGGGCTGGGCCGTCACCTCCCTTCCCCAGGCCAGGGCTGCTCTGGTGCCCGAGCCAGGAATTCCCAGTGTGTGTCAAGGCTGCATCCCTGCCTCTTCCGCCTTGCGTCTCGGTGGAGTTTTGCCTTGGAGTCAGGCAGAGGCTCTGCCTGCCCAGCCCCGGGGCTCCATGTGCGGGCTGCCAGCCCGGGGCGGGCAGGGATTTCCCCTGGGTGTCCCAGGAAGGGTGGGAGTTCCCACATGGCACCCTCACGTCCCTCTTTCCCTGGTAACGGAGTCATTGCCTTTGCCTTGCTGGGGGGGCCCCCTAAGGCAGCGCCCCTGCTCTGCCCGCAGGGCGTCACGCACCAGCAGTGGTACCTCTTCAACGACTTCCTCATCGAGCCCGTGGACAAGGTGAGCGTGTGTGGGGTGAGGCGGTGGCTGTGGGTCCCCACGGGGGGCAGCTCCCGGCCCCACACCCTGTCCCGTGCCCCGTGCCCGCAGTGCGAGGCGGTGCAGTTCGACATGAGCTGGAAGGTCCCGGCCATCCTCTACTACGCCCGGCGGAACCTCAACGCCAAATACAACCTCGTCAGTGAGTGCCCGGGCTGGAAGCGGCCGCGGCGGCAGCGCCTCTGCCCCCCGGGGCTCACCCCCCTTCCCCTTGCAGTCAAGAACCCCATCGAGGCCAGCGTGCTGCTGGCGGAGGCCTCGCTGGCTCGCAAGCAGCGCAAGTGCCACGCCACCTTCATCCCCCTCATGCTGAGCGAGATGCCGCAGGCGGGGGACCTGGTGGGGCTGGATGCCGAGTTCGTCACCTTGAACGAGGTGGGGTCCCTGCCCCGTGCTGGGGAGGGGGTGCAGGGACGCAGGGGCAGCTCCGAAAGGGGGTGGCACCGAGGTCTCCCCTCGCCCCATGGCAGGAGGAGGCCGAGCTGCGCAGCGATGGGACCAAATCCACCATCAAGCCCAGCCAGATGTCGGTGGCCAGGATCACGTGCGTGCGCGGGCAGGGCCCCAACGAGGGCGTCCCCTTCATCGACGACTACATCTCCCACACAGGAGCAGGTAAAGGGGGCCCTGCCTGGCCCCCCCAAGGACGTGGACCCGTTCTGTGTCTCCCGTGGGGTCACAGGAGGGACCAGGTCCATGGAGGGGCACCCACGATGATGCCAGCACCCACCTTGGGATGCAGGCAGGGCAAGTGGGGAGGGGGCAGCCCCCACAGTGGGCACTGCTCTCTGCAGGTGGTGGATTACCTGACCCAGTACTCGGGGATCAAGCCGGGAGACCTGGATGCCAAGATCTCCTCCAAGCACCTCACCACCCTCAAATCCACCTACCTGAAGCTGCGCTTCCTCATCGACGTGGGGGTCAAGTTTGTGGGGCACGGGCTGCAGAAGGACTTCCGTGTCATCAACCTCATGGTGACAGCGGGCACAGGGCGGGGGGGGGGGGGGCTCGGTGTGGGGCTGGGAGCCGGGTGGCAGGGCCAGGGCTCCCCCTGCCCCGCAGTGCTGGCAGCAGGACCCCCTCTGCTCCATAGGTGCCCAAGGACCAGGTCATCGACACCGTTTACCTGTTCCACATCCCCAGGAAGAGGATGATCTCCCTGCGCTTCCTCGCCTGGTATTTCCTTGGTCAGTGCTTCAGTGTTGGATGCGGGATGAGGGGCACATCCCTGACCCCATCCCTAACAACATCCTTAACCCCATCCCTGACCCCATCCCTGGCCCCATCCCAAACCCCCTCCCTAACACCATCCCTGACCCCCTCCCTAACCCCATCCCTAACCCCATCCCTGACCCCCTCCCTAGCCCCATCCCTAAACCCCATCCCTAACACCATCCCTGACCCCCTCCCTAGCCCCATCCCTAACCCCATCCCTGGCCCCATCCCTGACCCCACAGACCTCAAGATCCAGGGGGAGACCCACGACAGCATCGAGGACGCGCGCACGGCGCTGCAGCTCTACCGCAAGTACCTGGAGCTGAGCCCGCAGGGCTCCGAGCCCGAGGACTTCCGCAAGGTGCTCAAGGGCCTCTATGAGAAGGGACGGAAACTGGACTGGAAGGTGCCCGAGCCCGACAGCCAGAGCAGCCCCAAGCGTAAGGCTCCCCCCTTTATCCCCCCCGTACCCCCCCGGTGCCCCCCGCAGCCCCTCATCCCGCTCTGTGCCCCGCAGATGGGGCCGTGTTCCCCCCGGTGCTGGCCCTGTGACCGTGCCCAGCGACGAGCAGCCCCGAGGGAGGCGGACACACGTGGAACTGGAACCAGCAGCGGGGACGGGGCTGACCCCGACCCTGCCCCGAGCCCTCCCCCGGGGCCCGGTGCCCCGGGACTCCCTTTCCCTGCCGGTACCGGGAATTGTTACAACCCCCGCGCTGCCCCCCCCTCCGCCCGCCGGACCGGGCGCTCTCATAAAGCAGCCTCGGACACCCCCGCCGCTGCCTCCTGCTTGGCTCCGGGACCGGCACCGGCACCGGGGACACGGCGGGGGGAACCGGGACTCGAACCCGGGTCCTGGCGGGGACGCGGCCAGGGTGGCCGAGGGGGCGGAGTCAGAGGTGGAGGAGGTGGAGTCACAGCAGGCCACGCCCCCCCGTGGGGCCGAGCGCCACGCGGCCGGGGCCCTGGCAGCGCGGGGTCCTCAGCGTTGCTCCCGGGCTGCCCTTATCGCTGCCTGCGCCCGGGACAGCCCCGCCGCGGGCCTCGGAGCGGCCTGGACCGGTCCTGCCGGTTCCGCCGCCCCGCCCGGTTCCTCCGCCGCCTGCTCCGAGCGGCCTCGCCCCGCGGCGGGGCGGGCGGACGGGGAGCGCCGGGACAGGCGGTGCCGCGGGCAGCCCCGGGGCAGGAGCCGTGGCGGGGGGCGGGAGAGCGGCGCGGAGCGGTGCGGGGGGCTCGGCCGGGCCCGCGGCTCCGGGCAAGGCCCTGGCGGGGGGGGGGGCTCGGAACGGGCTCCAGAGGGGGCTGCGAACGGGACCCGGTAGGGAAGGGGCCCCATAGGGGTGTGGGTCTGAGCCTATAGGGAAGGGGCTCCATAGGGGGTGTGGGTCTGAGCCTATAGGGAAGGGGCTCCATAGGGGGTGTGGGTCTGAGCCTATAGGGAAGGGGCTCCATAGAGGTGTGGGTCTGAGCCTACAGGGAAGGGGCTCCATAGGGGGTGTGGGTCTGAGCCTACAGGGAAGGGGCTCCATAGGGGGTGTGGGTCTGAGCCTATAGGGAAGGGGCTCCATAGAGGTGTGGGTCTGAGCCTATAGGGAAGGGGCTCCATAGGGGGTGTGGGTCTGAGCCTACAGGGAAGGGGCTCCATAGGGGGTGTGGGTCTGAGCCTATAGGGAAGGGGCCCCATAGGGGTGTGGGTCTGAGCCTACAGGAAGGGGCTCCATAGGGGGTGTGGGTCTGAGCCTATAGGGAAGGGGCTAAATAGGGGGTGTGGGTCTGAGCCTATAGGGAAGGGGCTCCATAGGGGGTGTGGGTCTGAGCCTATAGGGAAGGGGCTAAATAGGGGGTGTGGGTCTGAGCCTACAGGGAAGGGGCTCCATAGGGGGTGTGGGTCTGAGCCTACAGGGAAGGGGCTCCATAGGGGGTGTGGGTCTGAGCCTACAGGGAAGGGGCCCCATAGGGGTGTGGGTCTGAGCCTATAGGGAAGGGGCTCCATAGGGGGTGTGGGTCTGAGCCTATAGGGAAGGGGCTAAATAGGGGGTGTGGGTCTGAGCCTATAGGGAAGGGGCTCCATAGGGGGTGTGGGTCTGAGCCTATAGGGAAGGGGCTAAATAGGGGGTGTGGGTCTGAGCCTACAGGGAAGGGGCTCCATAGGGGGTGTGGGTCTGAGCCTACAGGGAAGGGGCTCCATAGGGGGTGTGGGTCTGAGCCTACAGGGAAGGGGCCCCATAGGGGTGTGGGTCTGAGCCTATAGGGAAGGGGCTCCATAGGGGGTGTGGGTCTGAGCCTACAGGGAAGGGGCTCCATAGGGGGTGTGGGTCTGAGCCTATAGGGGAGGGGGCTCCATAGGGGGTGTGGGTCTGAGCCTATAGGGGAGGGGGCTCCATAGGGGGTGTGGGTCTGAGCCTATAGGGGAGGGGGCTCCATAGGGGGCTGGGTTTGAACCTATACATGAGGGGGCTCCATAGGGGGCTGGGTTTGATCCTGTCCATGGGGGGGCTCCATAGGGGGCTGGACTCAGCCCTTCATTGAGGCCCCCGAGTAGCGCTGGAGCCGCCCGTGCCCGCAGGTCACCCCTGAGGATGAGGGGCCACATCCTGCCCGCGCTCTGCCTGGGCCTGGCTGCGGCTCTGCTGCTGCCCACGGCCTGCGCCCGCCGGAGCCAGGACCTGCACTGCGGAGGTGGGAAGGGTGGGGTGGGATTGATGGGATGGTAGGGATGGGGTGGATGGGATGGGATGGATGGGGTGGGAAGGAATGGGATGGGATGGATGGGATGTAATGGGATGGGATGGGATGGGAAGGGTTGGGATGGGATGGGGTGGTGGGGATGGGTCCAGGGCCAGGCAGTGCCGTTGACTGCGCTGTCCCGCAGCGTGCCGGGCACTGGTGGATGAGCTGGAGTGGGAGATCGCCCAGGTGGATCCCAGGAAAACCATCCAGATGGGCTCGTTCCGGATCAACCCCGACGGCAGCCAGTCCGTGGTGGAGGTGAGCCATGGCCCGGCTGCTCCAAGCCCCATTCCTGAGCACTGCCAGCGATGGAGCATCCAAACCTCCTCCGTTCAACCCATCCCAGTGCCCCAGCACCCTCACACTGAAGAGCTTCTGCCTTGTATCCAACCTGAACTCCCCCTGTTCCCCTCTGAACCCATCACCCCCTGTCCCATCGCTCCACTCCCTGCTGCAGGTCCCTCCCCAGCATCCTTGTAACCCCCTTCAGGCACTGGAAGCTGCTCTCCTCCAGCCCCAGTGTTCCCAACCTGGCTCCTATGGGAGCTGCTCCAGCCCTGGGCCCATCTGCCCCATTCCAACGCCTGCTCCCGCTGCTGCAGGTTCCCTACGCCCGCTCCGAGGCGCATCTGACGGAGCTGCTGGAGCGGGTGTGCGAGAAGATGAAGGAATACGGGGAGCAGCTGGACCCGGGCACCCAGCGCAAGAGCTACGTGCGGGTGCTCTCCCGCGACGGCACCAAGCTGGAGCTCTCCCGGCGTCACCATCGATGGGGACGTGGCTTCCAGCCTCAAGTTCGCGGTGGGTCCGGGGCTGAGCTTGGCCCCCCCCCGCCCCGGCAGCTCCGTGGGGCTGGAGCCTGCTGCAGGACCCAGCTCTGACCCATAGCGGCTCCCATTGCAGTGCGAGAGCATCGCGGAGGAGTACGAGGATGAACTCATCGAGTTCCTCTCCCACGAGGCCGACAACGTCAAGGACCGGCTCTGCAGCAAGCGCACGGGTGAGCCCCGGGGTCCGTCCCCCCCCTCCAGAGCACGGTTCAGGCTTCAGAGACATCCCCCCCCCCAAACCCCCTCATCCCAATGGGGCAGCCCCAGAGCGGCTGGGGCTGGGTTTGGCTGCTGCTCCCTGGCTGGGTGCCCGCCCGCGGCAGCTCCCTTCCCGCAGGGCTATTTCCAGCTCGCAAACACCGGGGTCAGGCCGTGCCGTAACCTTTGTGCCGCGCCGGTGCTGAGCATGGGCCGCGCTCGGTGCCCGCGGCGTGGTGCTGAGCCCGTGCTCCCGGTGCCACGGTGCTGTCCCTTGGCCCCGCAGACCTGTGTGACCACGCGCTGCACATCCCGCACGATGAACTGTGACCGGGCACGGGCTCCGCGGCACCGCCACGGCCTCTACCTCTTGCTCCACCTCGTCCCCACCGGGAGGCACTGGGGCACACGGCGGCACCGGAGCCGCCGCCGCAGCCTCACCCCCTCCGGTGCTCTTGGCCTGTTTATTGTGCCCGTGTGGAGTGGGGAGCACCGGGGCCGTGGCCCTTCTCCAGCCAGGACGTTCCAGTGGGACAACTGCCAGCCATGGACCTGCTGCTGCCGGGGGGGCACCGGGACCGGCTTTGGGCCCCCCCTTCCGTGCTGCTGGCAATAAAGGGGCCGCGCGGTGCCCGTGCCGTGGGCCCCAAGTGAGGGCAGGTCCGGCTCCGGTGTGTGCGGGGCGGTGGGGCCGGGAGGCGCTGGTGACAACCACGAGGCCCCACGTGTGTGGGGCCACCGGCCATGGGCTGGCCTTGGGGTGGGGGTGGCTCCTGACAGGCGCTGGTCAGCCCATGGCGCCATGGCACCCGTCAACTGGTGTCACCCATGGCACCCATCGCCGTGTGTCACCCATGGTCCCATGTGTCCCCCATCACCCAGTGTCACCCATGGTCCCATGTGTCACCCATGGCACCCATTGCCATGTGTCACCCATGGCACCATGGCACCCATTGCCATGTGTCACCCATGGTCCCAAGTGTCCCCCATCACCCAGTGTCACCCGTGGCACCATGTCACCCGGTGTCACCCATGGTCCCATGTGTCACCCGTGGCACCATGTCACCCGGTGTCACCCATGGTCCCATGTGTCACCCATGGCACCATGTCACCTGGTGTCACCCATGGTCCCATGTGTCACCCATGGCACCATGTCACCCGGTGTCACCCATGGTCCCATGTGTCACCCGGTGTCACCCCTGCTCCGGTGTCACCGTTCCCGTGTCCTTGTGTCACCGTCACCGGGGCAATGTCCTGGGGTCAGCGGGGTCGGTCAGCAGTGGCCACGCCCCCGCGCTGACGTCACCGCAGAGCTGAAGCAATGGCACCGGGTGACCCCTGGCCCCTGGCGGCCGGCAGCGGGGTGACGTCACGGACCCCCTATGACCTCATAGCACGTGGCCCAGTGCCCGGTGACGTCGCGGGGCCGCCCCCAACGCCGCGACCGGAGCGGCCCCGGGATGGGGACGTCGCTCCCGGGGCGGGTGACGCAGCGGCGTGACGTCACGGGGGTGCCGGCGGTGACGTCACGCTGGAGGGGCGGGGCTCCGCCTCACCCCACCTCAAGGCCACGATCAGGCGAACGCTGCGGACACCTACAGCCGGGGCCA